TGGGTGGGTATGCAGTTGCTCCCAATCTGACCTCATTTAATACTTGATCTGGTAATGCTGACACCCTGGGGTCTAGTGAGCCTTGCCACTAATAAGTACTGTTAACCCATGAATAGAGTCTTACAGTCATGGTTTCTTTTTACTTTTTTAAAATTGGAAAAAAAAAAAAAAAACCTGGAGCACCCTAAATGTATGGCAGAAGTTCAGAGGACTTTAACATTGTACAGTTTATATTTTTATGACTGAAAAATGAGTCGTTTGTTGGTGTGGGGGTAAGTTCTACATGTATATATATGGAAACTTTATGTTGTGCTAACAGCAATCACATCTTACGTCCCCAATTAAAATGTGACTTTTCAACTCCAGAAGTTGCCTGCGACAATTTAGCCATCTGTTTAATGAAACAACCACCACTGATTTGGTCATAGATAATTATTACAATAAAAGCAGTGCTGGGGAAAGATCAACTCATCCCAGTTGAGGATGACAGTTAATTATGAAGAGATAATGAGTGAAGGTGGTTCACATTGCCTCATCTCCAGGGTAAGAAGTAGGTAACAAATCTCACTCTAGATATCGATCATGTGGAGTGTATGATTATACACATCTTTGAGTCATTATTTTTAAGTCTTATAAGATATATACCAAGTAGTGTATTTACTGGGCTGTGTTCAACCAGAAGGAGAAGTGTCGTTTTTCATAAATTATCTATTGAATTCCATGCATTTGAGATTTTTGGGGTGAAAATATTCTTAGATTATTATATGGAGGCTTTTGTATTCTCTGGCCACCCTTAATTGATGTGAGAGGGAATTTTCAGCACTTGTCTCTGGTGGAATCTGTGATGAGAGCCCGTAACACACTCTGCTAATTACCTGCCAGGAAGACCCTAGTGTGGTAATATTAGAATAAGCTCTATGCTATGAAATGTGATGAAGGAAAGGAGAGTTCTGGCAAAGATGATTCTCAAAACACACACTAAACAATAGCTTTAAATTCCTCTATGATAACATGACTTTGATAAGGAGCAAAATTGATTAATTTCCTTCTCACTATCTTGGCTTAAGTACTCCTGAACTGCAAAATAGATAAAAGCCAAATTATGGAGGAACAATAAACAAAGGACTCTCATTTTTAGTATCTTAGAGCCAGGCGAAAGCATAATGGAACCCTCTGTGTAGTGAAGGAGCGTTGGCACTCATTATTGGCTCCTCAATATTAGAACCAAGGGGATTTTTAACAGATTGCCTCACAGGAAAGCAAGAACTCTGCCTGGCTCCTCATTCTCATTTTGGGCATGAGACTCAGCTTTTCTTATGTTTCTTATACAGTCATTTCTTGGCACTCCTGGTTTCTCCAACATGATATTCTTGTGAATTTATATTGCATGCATTTAGAACATGTGACAGAACTGAGCTGAGATACATTTATTTTTGTGCTATTAATGAAGAAAGGTTTTTAAGTGTCAATAGGAAAATATATTAGGAGAATCTCAGTCCCTTTAAGACGAGAATTTTTGTGAGATCCTAATATATTCTTTGCCTAAAGGCAAAATAGAGTTAACTGTAAATGGATTCCTCTGTAGGGCGTGTAGTATTTAAGGTCTCTAGTTTTGTTTAAGCTTACTGAGACTTTAGCTGCAAACTGAGAATAATTCTTTACTGGAATTATTCCCAATTTATCATCAGACTTAGATATAAATCCAGGTGTTTCCACATACATAGCTGTGTGATCTCAGGCAACTTGTATAATCTCTCAGAACTTAAATTTATTTTTCATCTAAAATATGAACATTATAGGTACTTTTCTCAAGGGTTGTTTGGAAATTAGATGATGAATCTAAGCTGCTTGTTTTAATAACCTGGCCATCCCAACATTCAATATGTGTTAGGTATTATTAATATTTATCTAAAAACTAAATTAGGATGGTACTGGTTTTCTACTTAGAGGTACATATTTCATTATGTACTTAAGATTTAGTAAATTCTTTGAAAAATACGTGTCTGTTTCTTCAACTGTAATATAGATTTATTCATTCTGCCTTTCTTTCCAATGAGCATGTATTCATTGTAATACATACATGGAAAGGGTTAGCTTTGGTCTGTTTATTGTTTAGTTGAGTGCCACAAGCTGTGTATGTAAGGATTTTTTTTCCTATAGTATTTTATATTAATGACAAATTATGTAAAAGCACTAAATATGAAACAGAATTTAGAGAGTAGAAGGGTTGAGAATTGGAAGACATGAACCCTGGGTTCTATGTCTAGTCAGTTTGTCCTTTGGTAAATCAATTAACTTCTCTGGGTTTCAGTTTCTTTAAACTTTAGTGGAGAAACTTATATTGAATGATTTGTGTGGCTGTTTATAGTTATCAAGTTATAATTCTACCATAAACTCAGAACAACTCTATTTTCAAAATTATACTATTTAACTACTGGCAATGGTCTGTCACATATCTTTGCTTCTACTTATTTTTTCCATTTAATAGGAAAGGGGACGTGATTGCTTTATATTGAAGTTGATTTTTTTTCCAAAATATTGAAATATTAGGTTATCCAGTGACCTTAAAAGTGATCTAGCCCCACTCAGCCAGTATATTATTCTAGTTTCTTAGAAGACCAATTTCCTATATCTGGAAAAGGCACAACTCTCCCCGTCATTTTCTTTGAAAAGGAAATCATATAAATTATCATGCCTCACAACTTTTACTGTTCTAGTGAAAGTTGTTTCCCATTTTGTTTTTAAAGAAAATTTGAAAGAAAATGCTAATTTTAATTACAAGGATATTTTACCTTTTGTTCTCCGGTTCAACAGACTGTTATGACACATTTAAGAAGGTGTGTGTTTATTACTTTAATTAAATCAGCTTAATAAAGTTCCATAGCTTTATATATTCCTAATTTTGAATGAAGATACCTGATGGAGAAAAATAAAGATAATGAAGAGAAGAAATACGTCTCTCTGATTTTCATGTGACAATCAGTAACTGGATCAAGAAAAGAGGTCTCTGATGTTTTATTTAGATTGTGTTAATCCAGTCCCTAGAACCAGATGAAAGGTCTGATAACATAGTTTATAATAATGTGAATTGTCACTTCTATTTGAATAATATTAGCTACAATCAAATAAGTTTTCTTTTTTCATAATAGAAAGTTCTTACTCTTATTCTTTCTATAACACCTTTGTCTCCAAACATAATTCACTTGAGAAAAACAACACTGTCTGCCTAATTCCCATGTGGTTTAGATTATCATTATGAACCTAGCTATGGCCAAAGCTTTACCTTTTAATGAGACGCTGATTTCGTGGTTTAATATATTTTTGGTTCTGAGCAAGAATATCTTATCCATACTCAGGGAAGTACAGAAGGAAATGAAGAAGCCATATGAATTTTGAAACTGTATTTACATCTTTATAGCAATATATATTTTTTTTAATTTTTAATTATTTATCGGATTTGATCCTCTTCTCTGTTCCCAGCACACACATCTGGCTTTCTATTTCCTTCTCAAAATGCTGCTGCTGCATTTACGTGCCCCTTCAGGGGCCTCTCTCTTTTCTTTCTGTTGCAAAAATAGCATTTCCAGTATCTTAATGCTTTATTGTCAAGGTTGTCTAGACATCAGCCCAGGCGTCTCATGGGGTTAGTAGTGGAGACAGTACCCTATACTTTTCCTACCTTTTGTCTTCAGTGGTTACTTTGGAAGTGCAAGCATGAGGAGGTCAGCTGAGGCAGCTACAGAAATTGCTTCCTAGTTCAAGCAAGGTCAGAGCCTGGTCTCTTTATATACTATACAAATTCCACCGAGGAGTGTCTGTGAAAGCTCTCTCCGAAGTTAGCTGTTGTTCAGTATTGAGATATAAACCCTATGGTTCAACTTGCTAAAGCACATTTTACAGGCTAGAGTTAGCAAAAATGAATCAAATGCCATAAAGGTGCTCCTATTCACTTAAAAAAATTAGAAGAAGGTCTCTATTAGGTTAGAGGCTTCTAATAAATGGCATCCATACATATGTGAGGTTGAGGCTTTGAAAGCTCTATAAGGTGGCATGTCACTATATAGGCTAGCTTCCCAAAGAATATTTTTTATTTTGTAATTTCATATTTTGCTATCTTATCTGGCTTAATTGTCATGTTATTTCTTATCTATCATTTGCTTATCTTCATTAAAAAACTGTTCAATATCATTAAACATTTCATCTTTCAGTTAGATGATTTTGCATGTAATTATGGGAAAAGAAAATGGAAAACTTTTCTGATTATCACAAATGATATGGAGAGTTGCAAACAATTTGAAGTTAATTATGAGCTTAGTTGGGGGGTTAATTAATTTCTATGTGCGCTACATAGAAAATGGATTTCCACCATGTATCTATTAAGTTAATAACATTAACTCCTGTTTTATAAATAAAACATGTAGGTACACATACAGCCCACATCAAAACATCAAACTTTTATTATATTGAAATTGTTCCAGGACTGACTTTTTAGTCTGTATCTAAAGTATTTTTAGAGGATTTTAATCATACCAACTGGGTCCCAACTTTGACTGTAAATATTCACATTTCATATTAAAATTGTTTGACATGGTCTGAGTGTCTGTCAGTTTTTCCAACTGTGTTTCAGCCTTGTCACTTGATTTTGTTTTGTTGTGCATTGTCATGTGTTACGAAAGAATTAAAGCACTTCTTTTATTTGCAAAACCCAGCCAGCATTTTGTCACTGCCTAGTCAAACTCCAGCTTAATGGCCCAAACTAACTGTGACAGTGGAGCTGTGGGAATGAGGGATGGATCTGTGTAGCAGCTCTAGCTTTAACCTCTAACTAGCTTTCATTTCTCATCTTTGCAATTTCCATTTCCTCCTTTTATTGAAATAAGTTCAGTTGAAATAAATGGATACTCCTGCACATCCTGTGAGCTCTTCTGAGAGTAGCATTGGTCTGTTAATAATTTTTCATGTTTTCCTCTCTCTCTCTCTTTCTCTCTTTTTTTTTTTAGTCTCGACCTATTCCTTCCCACCTTACTTCAGCAGTTGCAGAGAGTATCTTGGCCTCCGCCTGTGAGAGTGAGAGCAGAAATGCCGCCAAGAGGATGCGTCTGGATAGACAACAGGTACTGAGGAGCCTTGGGGACTGGCATTTACCCATGACCACAAACAAAGATGGTTCATGGAGCCCAATTTATGTAGAAGGGGAAAGACTCTTGAATGGGTTTTGAAGTACACCAAGATACAGTTTTTGTGTCTTTATGATAGAAATTTGAACTTGAAAATGCATGTTCCTGAGATGAATAGGCATCTGTCAAATGTTCTGTGGTGAAAAATGGCTAACTGTGAAGTTAATGAGTCGGAATTCTGCTTAGTATCCAATTGGCGGGCCAATTGCTTATTTAAATAAGTGGTTCTAACTGATCGTTGACAATAGTTTTGTAAACTTACATGATTGTTTATGATATGGACATGATCGTGTTCATTCTGAATGAAAGCAAACCTCTCTTTCTGCTCTCTTGCCTGCTGCTAAATGGCAGTGGATTGTTCTGGGAATGGTGAAAAAGCACAGATTTTAGAAGCCTAGAAATCTATAAAATGGCTTCCTCATTAATGAACTATTTATTATATACCCATTAAGTATCATCTTTCTCTGTCTCTTTTCTAAGGATGTACCCCCATGTGGTGTGGACATGTGCATTTTTTGTGTCTTACGAGCTTATGTTTCCCTTGGTTTATCTGCACCCGTCTGTGGCCCCTTCTCAGGTCTGGAATGTCTTTCTCTGTTTTCTTTATCTCTCTGACCTTCTTAATTATCCATAATTAATTACTAAATTGTAATATATAACATTAACTGTTACACATATAAGTATGCTGTGTTCTGACTTTGAAGTTACTTTTACAACAAGTGATCTGGTGCTTCATATCTTTTAAAGTTTGGAACGAGAAGACTAAATTGTTAGTCTAATTTTGTTTTTCCTGTGAGCCAATGAGCTTCAAAGAAAAACAGAAAAAAAGTTTTTCTGTTCCAGGACTAAGATATGTAGAAATGTTTCAGAATGGTATTATTTAAAAGTTTTATGTGTTTATTATGAATATGGCATGTGCTAATAATTCTAGACAGTGCAAAAGATGAAGGCTTTAATTTTTTCAGATGTAATACTCACCTCAGATAAAATGTATATTTTGAGTTTGTTAATCATTCTTGGCCAACAGTATTTATTCACATACACATGCCCTCAGTGAGACTTTTATCATCATCGTAGGTCTAGAATGTATCTTGCTTGTAACAAGTCAGACCTCTCTATACAAGACCACGTAGCAGAGTGATTAAGATGGCACATTCTGGAGTTAAAGACATCTGGTTTTGAGTCTCAGCGCTACCCTTACTAGTCGTGTGCCCTTCAGAAAGCTGTTCCATTCTCTGTGCCTTGGTTTCTTCATGAGCAAGCCAACATTTAACAGTTCTCATCCTATAGGGTTGTTGTGAGAATGACAGATTTATGTAAATTACTTAGCCAGGCATAGAGTCAGCATCAATAATTTCAGCCTAGAAAAGAAGATTCTAACTGACATTCTTTCTGTCAGTGCCTTGGCATCAGTAAAACTAGAAAGAAGCATTAATAGGAATATCTTAGATATAGGAGCTATGAAGTCAGACTAAGTATATTTGAGAAAAGATCATAATTCTAGAAATTGGAATGGTAGAATTCTGGGGCTGAAGGGGTTCTTCTTGGTGTTGTCTTGCCCTATATTCCATCTAGTCTATACTCTAGAATGGTATCAGTCATATAAACAGTTATTATGAAAATTAAAGGACTGATTCACATTATTTTACTACCTATGATATCACTCTACAGTATCCCCAAAGCTGGGTATCCACCAATATTTGGTCCAATTTTTTTTCCAATTTTTTTTTTTTACTTAATCCACTATTGGTGTAATCTATAAAATGGAAGTTATAAATATTAAATTCATAGAATTATTTTGACGATTTAATAAGACAACGCATATGAAAGCATAGTTTATTTGATTAACTTATGTATTGCCAGAGCTCTTCTATAATCACCGTTTGCTTGAATCCCTAAAGTTGTAGGAAAATCCCACCTCTAGAGCTGGAGATCTACCATTTACTAACACATGTAGTCTGTTATCAGAGAGGTGTAATCATTTTGACAATCCTTAAAGTGAGATCAAATTTGCTTCCTAGAGCTTCCACCCATTGAAGAAAAACTGCTGGGAATTATGAGGAGAGTGACTTCTTATTGCCCAGGGAGTAGGGACTGGAAAGGGTGGGGACCAACTACCTGTTTCCCCTTTTCTGTCCTCTTGCATAATGATCATTTATGGCAAGGCTCCCATCACATGAGAATGGGGGATGTCCCATATCTTCTCCAGGTAAGAATGTTCTTTCCAGGCCTTAAAAGTGAGTTCAGGGGCACCTGGGTGGCTCAGTGGGTTAAGCCGCTGCCTTCGGCTCAGGTCATGATCTCAGGGTCCTGGGATCGAGTCCCGCATCGGGCTCTCTGCTCAGCCAAGAGCCTGCTTCTCTCTCTCTCTCTCTGTCTGCCTCTCTGCCTACTTGTGATCTCTGTCAAATAAATAAATAAAATATTTAAAAAAAAAAAGTGAGTTCAGTGAGTTTGGGATTTATGGGAGATATGGAAGAAATTATTTAAAAAATACATTCTATGATTTATTGGAAATCTAATAGGCCCTTTGTAGACTTTTTTTTTTTTCCATGTAGTAATTTCAACAACCTCATGAGAAGCAGGTATTCTTATTCTCATGTACCTATAAGGAACTTGAGGTTCAGGGAAGGGGGATTATTTGTACAGGATCACCCAGCTGCATGAGCAAATCAGACTATAAGTTTATATTATGTGAGGCTGACACTTGAGATCTCTATATAATCCTATAACTTTTACTGAGGGAAAACCTGTGTCCTGGAAGAAACTCTTAGAACACGTTATCATTTGTGCCTCTGCTCACAATGTTTTTGACAGGGCACTTCTGTCAGAAAACAATCTGTTTTTATCACAAAGATATGTGCATTCTTTCATAACTGGCAAACCAGCCTTCCCCAGTAAGCAAGTTATCCCAAGCAGGACATTTTTGTCTCAATATCAGCTTGAAAAACTGCCTCACTTCATCTGGGAAATGAGTTATGCACTGCCAATGCTGATTTAGTGTTTATTTAGTATTTTAAAATAAATAATATATATTACACATAGATATACACATTCACATAGACATAAAAATCTCTAAATTATTTCTGCCTAACATGAATTCTGTCGATGTCATTTGGCAAAGGCTTCTACCACATGATTTTGTACTTCCAACCCAAATGCAGATGGGAGAGCCCTCTCCCAATTAGATCTAAATGCTCTTCACCCAAGTAGGGATAGCAAGGACTCTCTTGGGTGTTGGCAATGAGATCATTCTTTACCCCGCCCAGCGCCCATTCTTAACCCAACTCACAATTTGTAGAATCTGCTGGTGACTCAGAGATTCTTCATCAGGCCCCTGCTGTTCTGCAGGTGCATGAAAGTTAAAGAACTGGGCAGTTAAATCTGGATTCTGTTAAGCCCCATGTCTGAGTGCTTGCTGCCCATGGTTGGCCACATGTAGAGCGATAATTATGTATGTCCTTCAGACTTTATGAAGCTTGATGAATTAATTGGATTTTATAAAGCTGTTTGAGCTAGGAACATGAAAGGTATTATGGATGTGTTAAATACTTTATTTCATGTGCCCACCTTGCACCACAATCCAGACGAGCCTTGTTATTATGCAGCCCAAGCCCTAGAGCAAGCCGGGGGCAAGGACAGGAGCCTCCTGTTTGATCAGGAATCAGAATTCACAGAACTGAGGTCAACCATCCGTGCGTTATCAAACACAGCCAGTGTTTCCTTTCTTTTTAACATGAAAATCTGAAATTTTTATGTTCAGGAAATTCTTCCTCACTCTGACAATTAAAAAAGGTTGGGGGGGCCAAGTCAGACTTCACTTCCCTATGACATAGCTTGAATCAAAAGATTATCTTTTTCTCTATCTTTATTTCATTCCTCTTTCCTTAAAAAGATTCTTCAGTGCTTTTGGTTACAATTCATCTAAATGAAGAGACAAAAGCAGAAAGTGAGAGATGAGAACCAGCTTCTTGCTGGTGATTGGTTTCCCATTAGTATGTATTTTTGCTGTTTTTTTCCAGGATGACCTGTCTTTTATTCCTGGCCTGCTGACTGATAAACTTAGGGAGTTTCTCACTGATGTGAGTTTCTTTGGTTTCTTTTCTCTCTCCCCAGTTATTTGAGTTAAATTGGTTTGTGGTGCTGGAGTGGGGATCATATAGAGCCAAGGGGTCAACGGCTTCCCCTGTATCAGTGGGACCGATAAAGCCCTCGTGAAGGACAGTGTAGTACCAGTGCAAGATGATGGTTTTTGTGGTGACTGGGACAGTTGGGAGTTCGATGGTAGGTGGTGATGTGACCTCTTTGACTCTATCGAAAAGAACACTGAGAAGGGGGAACGAGAAATGGCTTATTAATTCCTTGTGACATAATAAAAGGTGAGAAATCAAGGGAAAAAATACTGAAAACTGGTGTATTGCAGAGTTAAAGAAAATTACTGCTAGGAAACTAGCATGAAACCCCCAGCTAGGACCAAAAAATATTCAGGAAGCCCAGAGTTCCCAGTACTGTTTTCATTAGCAGTGGGGCATGTCCTGCGACCTGCATCTCTTCCAATGTCCTGTTAGGGTACTAATGAGTGGGCATATTATTCAATGTAAATGCAGATACGAAGGTTGAAAATAGAGCCATGTAAGCATGGTGGCAGTTTTCATACAGACTTTGTATTTTGTCAAGGACATTTTTGAAAACTAACGAAAACACTCTGGTCAAGTCACAGCTTTCAAGACAGGTGACTTTTCTATCCTATTTCATTCCGTACAGTCCTATGTCCTTTTGATACCTCTTAAAAGCTTTAACAGCTGCACAACTGAAAGCAACATTTTTCAGTTGGATTTTATGCTGAAATTGAAAAGCTGTGCTACTAACTGACATGTGGCTTGAAACCTCTTTCTGTGTCCTTCCAGCCCACACCCCCAGGCTCCCATTCTCCAATC